TTATAAACAAGAATCTTTTCTCTGTCAGTTAATCCAATTACAATTAAGTGATACCCAAATTGTTTTCTACAAAAAAAGAGAGAAAAAAAGAAAACATACTTGCTGCACTATAGCCACACCACTGCCACAGCGCTGTACAGCAACCATGAAAGATCTGAAACTGCTTTCACCACCACCACCAGCAGCTTTCGTGAAATTTAGTAAGAGTTACAGGGGAGATACGGAGGATGTTGTCTTGGACTCTGTTCCTTCTTCAAGTCAAAGCCAGTACGAGTTCATGTCTGGGAATGATTTGAGTTGCTATGTGGAGAAACCGTGACCATTCCCCACCATAACAGAATCATTACCATAATATGCTTTTAAGTTTTCAAGAGCAGAATATGCCATAAAGGCTAAATGGCAAATAAAATGTTCTTACAAAATAGGCAGAATATGCCATGCCCCTAACAAATAAACAAAATAAGGCATCCCTTATACCTTACACCAAGGATCTCAAAATAAGAAGCAAATGAACATAACCAATACAAACCCAAACCCCAAAGCCAGTACGTAAGCACAAATTAATTTCTGCATTTCAGGATGGACTGAGGCTGAAATTAAGGCATCAACTTTCTCTTCACATCATCAACAGCTCTGGACACAGCATTAACAAATGTCATTATGATGTTAGTGAATTGCAAAGAGAAAGAAAGATAAGTTATATGAACTTAATCTTCTGAGATTGTTTCTGTTTTCTTAATGAAACAATTTAGATTCTTGATAAAAGAATTATATCTTTCAACTTCCAAGAACTCTTGATAAAAGCATAAATCCTTGCTGTGATCTATTATGAAATGAGCTGCATATTATATTATTGCAAAACACAACAAACTTTACTCACCTGAAAGCTAAGATCACAGCATCATCTCCTATGGTGACCGCACATACTGCCCAACAGTGAAAGCAGCTGAATTCAGATACCAGAATAAATTCAGAAAGTTTCCATTTTTCACTGGGAAAGAGAAAGCAGAATAACTAAAAATGAAACAGGGAAATAACTTTTTTGTATTCTTAAATTATTATTATTATTATTTAAATCATGTAGCCAATAATTCCTCAAAACTTTAGACCATTTGAAGCAGTTCTATAGAATCCATCTGCAATCAGCAGGCTCTAATTACATGAGGAATCACCTCGAGTTCCACCACTGGGAGGATTATGTCAGTGTTTCTGCAACAACACAAAATATTAATTGAAAGCACTAGAACTAGCAATGGTAATATAACAAACGCACTCAGTGGGTAAACTAGTGGGGGCCCATTTCCATACAAAAACTCCCAGTCAATAAATCTAATAGGTGACAGATTTTCATATTATATTTAAAAGAAAATTGATTTCAATATGTAGACTTTCCAAAGATCATGCATATATACCTCAAAAATTTGTTTCCAAGGCAATAGTCATTCTTTGTTGGTTCAAAGAGGAACTTTATCCAGACAACCTTTGTTGATTAACATCTCCAAGAACAAGCAGCTTGCGTCAATTAATTATATCCTTGAAAGAGTAAGTAAAATCCATTATTCAGTTAAGATAGCTCCATAGTTTAAAGATATTCAAAATGACTCGGACTGAACAAACCTTCTGCAGTAGCATCAACAAGTGCCCAAGTGTCTAACAGCAGCAATAAACAGCCAAGTGAACTGGTTATGGTAAACAATGTACCACTCTGTAACATGGTAAGTTTTCTCCATTTCCACAGTGATTCGCCAAAAACATCAAAGGAGAAACGGTGATGAAATCAATAAAACATTCAAAAGGCTTTCAAAAAGAACAAACAAGAATTAAGACAACAAAAAGAAGAGTGCTAATCCCATAAAGGCTAAATGGCAAATAAAATTGAAAAAGCAATAGCATCCAAGATGAATAGACAGCAACACATGGTATCAAAATCACCTTGGATGCCTTAATATAACAGAAACACATAAGGCCTGCATTAACTACTTTCGCAATTTCCATTACACTTCAATTAACTGAATCTCATAACAAGAAGGAATCTCTACTGGTTAATCCAGGCCCAGAGTAATACAAAATTAGGGTGAGTGCATAGAGCAAAATAAGAAAGAAAAAGCAGGAAACTGAGCCTAGGACATAATACAACATAGCTAGTAGAAAAATAAGAAATGCCACAAATAGAACTTATAGTAAATTGAGGTTGCTAAACAAATTCAAGTGCTTGACATTATTGAAACAGACTGTTAGATAGATAAAACTTAAAATAAATTTAGGTTGTTACACAGTTTTCTTACTGGAACATTTTACATTTTTGATAAATGAATTGCCTTCCCTTAAGGAATGCGATACAAAAAGAAAGATATCCACCAGACACAACTTTCTTTATTTTAGCTTCTCATCAGACACAAGAAATAATTCACAAGAGAACCTAATATTGATGACAATAACAGGTAAAGACATTTTTCAAGTTTCAACAATAACTATTAGCCTTACATTGCAAAATAAGTACCTGAATGTCAGAGCCATCAAAACAAGCAGTTACTTCAGCCATGACAACAGAAACCTTTCTTAAGGATGTAATCTTGGGTCATCTCTCTCCTAGCTCCATAGACCCTCAATTTTAGGATGCTTGCAGGATATTTTATTTGTAAGAAAAATATCCATTGATGAGTTCGTAGAAAGAACAACAAATATAACTCTAATTTATCTCAACAAAAATATCCATTGATGACCTATATTGACTAGCTATGAATACAGTGTATACACCTCTAAATTTAAATGAAAGTTTAGAAATGAGACTTGGAACTTACATATGTTAATGCTAACCTACATATGTTGTTTTTATGAGACAGAAACATCCTATCTCAACCTTGGCATATGCATCATAGAAATATCTAAAATTTATAAGTTTAAGTAGTAGAGGCAAAACACATTAATCTATTCCACACAGAGAATATTATAGCTTTCCCCTCTAAGACAGAAATTAATATCTCCAGATAGAAGGAAAATACCAAGGAAAATTACCTGGCTATGAACCAGATTGCCGGCCAATGAATAAGACTTAAGTTTGGCGATGGCTAGAGGGTGGGCCTCTAGAGAGCAAAGAAGGTTGGGATCGTTCCTCAATCAGCCTTCTTAAGTAATAGTCCTCCCTGAAATCACTTAGCTATCATCCAAGATTCATCAGATGCGTCTCTGCTTCCACATCGATCGGAGAAATATGGTGAAAGGAGATGTTTAGGGCCCAAAAATTAAAGAATTTTTACATTTTTTTCAGTAAAACGCACTGTTCAAAGACAACCAAAACAAAGGAGGACAGAAGAAAATAAAAAGAGATAACATCAAAAGAAACAAATTACACTAAGAAAAAAATACATGAGCAACTTTGTGCAAAGTAGATAGATGAAATCCAAAAGGAATTAACACAAATTCATACATAACCATAATTCCCACACAAGTAAACACAACTATACATCAACAATGAACATGACAAAGATGGAAACAAACTCAAGAAGCAATGGTTGCCATGTGTCCCCGGAGTAAGGAAATCAGCTGCACCTACTTGCACCTATGTAAAATAAATCAAAAGTAGAAAAATTAAGTTTCACTATTATATAATATGCCTTGATTTTTATCTTTAGAACTTAGATAGAACACAAATATTATAGAGAGAGTTGTAGAAACTTACTCACCTAAGAGCGTTGGTTAGGGTTTTAGGTTTTTCTCTTCTTATTACTTCGGTTGCACCTTCCAAGTAATTTCTGTTGATATTTCTCCACTTTCTTCACCACCCACCATGGTTTTCCTGTAGTGAAGGCAATGTATCCCAAACTAAGTCCCAACACTAGTCCACACCCATAGCCTGCCAATGCAAACTTCCTCACAAAGACTGCTGTAGAGTCATCTTCTTCATCAAATTGTGATGTAGGTGCTTCTGGTTCTTCCTCGTGGCATTTCTTTGTCAATGGGAATCCACACAACCCAAAGTTCCCAATGTAAGAATCATTTGAGAAAGTACTGAATTGCTTCCCTTCAGGTATGTGGCCCACAAGTTCATTGTGTGAAAGATTCAAAATTGATAGGAATGTCATATTGGTCAATTGCTCAGGAATCATGCCTTCAAGCTTGTTTGATGAGAGATCTAATGACTCAAGTTCTGCTAATTTCCCCAATGATAACGGGACTTGACCATTGAGACTATTATGAGATAAGTTTAGGATTACAAGTGAATTGAGTTCTCCTAGCTCTTCAGGAATCGGTCCATGAAATTGATTGCACGAGAAATCTACACTTGTGAAAATGGTCAAGATCCTTACAAGCTCCCTCTCAAAGCCTTTCATTACTACCGTCACAGAATCCCAATAATAAAATTGATGAGAAAAAAAGGTACGATAACATCCTACGCATGCCGACTCATCATTGGATTCCAATTTGACTTCTACATCTCTCATGCCTTTCAAAATTTTGAAATATTTACTCGGTAAAAGACCCATAAAATCATTCTGCGCGACATCAATGATTCTCAATTGAGAGAAGTAAAATGCAGGCATAGAATTGCTGATAGCACCATGAAATTGATTAGCTCGA